GAAAGAGGTATTACAGGAACTGGAAGTAAAACCCTTGGGAAAAATATCCAGCATAGAAAAAGTTGAGAAATGATCCAGTAGTGGGAACTAAATCTCTGAAAAAATTACAATGTTTCATGATTCACCAGGAAACCCTAATGGAAGGATCTTGTGTGGTAATCACATATCCTCTGAACAGAGAGAGACATAATTCTCTCCCAAGATTTTCCTGGGAAGCTGTGAGAAGCTGTGAGAAAGCTCAGAGAAAACAATTCCTGTCTCCACTTACTACACCTGTTGTTGTGCATATGTAAATGTTATGGAGATTGTTTACCAAAAAGTAGTTTCTTTATTAAACTCTAGTAAAAGTGTTTTGATTAATCAACCAATTAAGTCAAAACTGTATCAGACTATCTAGCAAAAGCAGTAAGTGTTTCATATAAAATGGATAGGATAGGATAGGATAGGATAGGATAGGATAGGATAGGATAGGATAGGATAGTAAAAATAAAGCATTAACCTTCTACAATCATAAAATCAATACTTGTCATTCCCCAGTGGGAATAATCCTGGTCTAAACCACTAGGACAAAACAATTACAATACCCACACAACCTACAGCTTAGTTACAGCTTTTAGTTATGGTTATGTGGCAAAGAAGGTATGCTCAGGACAAACTACAGATTCCAGATAGTACTTCTTTAGAAATAAGAAGCCTGAAAGGTGCTTTGTAGGCTGTCTGGGAAAACTGCAGCATTATGAGGTGACATATATACATAAGTTTTGTAACTTGTCTAGCTACAAGAATAATGAGTCATTGCTTACTGCAGTTGAAACACGTCCACTAAAGATCAGACTGGAAAAATAATGATGAGTTTTCTGGGTTTCTCAGCACCAAAGACAATTATGTGTTGCTCCAGTAAAGGCAGGGTAAGAGAAAATCAGGTAGAGAAGCAGAAAGCATCCCTGTGTAGATAGGTAGGGGGCTAAGAACAGTCTAGAACATTGATGTGAAAATGACCAGATAGCAAAGTGTGAACAGTTAAATTTACGTAACCTGCAAACCTGCAGTTTGAAAATTCTTTTTTTTCTCTCTACTGATCATGATGCACTCCATTATACAAGATGCACTTGTTAGATGATGATTAGAGTCAAGAAAGGTGTGTTATGATGCACATTAGGAGAAATTTATGAAGAGAGTTTGGCTTAGCATCTTCCTTCAGAATAAATGTAAGAAGGGCAATGAGCTGTTTTCCAGAATAAAGTTGGTGAGACAGGAGGAGTCCTATCTGCTGACAAAGAAAAGTGGAGCTCAGTGATCAAAGAGATTTCAGTAGCAGCTGAATAGGACATCACAGAGCTGTGGATCTGAAATAGAAGCAGCGACTGAAATATTCAGTATATTCATGTTCAGAAAATATCCAGAGGTAAGGTTAGAAATGATCATGGGAAGCCATAGAGCAATACCAGGAAGCATTGGGAATTTGGAAGCTGGGAGGGAGATTACTGGAGATATGTAGAAGTTAGGAACATTGAGGGGAATTTGGAAGCTGTGGGTGGCCAAGATCAGGAAAAAAATGCTAAGATATGGAGTGGTAGGAACAACTCTAGGGGTTTTATGGCAAAACTTTATGCTTTCTCAGTAGGGTTATTCATTTAACAACTTTTTATGTTTTTATACTTGCAGGATAGAACAAGCTTTGGAAGAACGAGATCAGCATTTGAAAACAATAGAATCACAGGTCTCAAAATGCAGAGATAATAGGTTTGGACAGATGTGACTGTAATGTTGTCAGCTGCTGCTATTCCATATCAAGGCCTTTAATATTTGCTTTTTATTCTTCAAGCCAAAGCCTGTGAAGACAAGTGATTAGAAGCAAATATTAGCTGGTTTTTTTAGTTCTGAAGGAAGATTCTGAGAAGATCTTGAAATCATAACAAAAAAGTACACTAACAGTTAGAAGTAGGAAGCAACTATTTATTTTAAATCTCAGGTTTTTCATAACTAACTGTTTCAAGACTGAAGCCATGATTTGCTAACATTTGATAACTAAATGATGTAACTGAGGGCAGAAATTGGTCAATGGACTCTTGCAAATTATGACAGTAAAATAAAGGAACTAAATAGCTTGATATTCAGATTGTATTTCCAGAGATCCAACAGGGATTTTGGCAGTTCTTTTAAGTCTGGGGTTTCTTCCTCCAACAGATATTCTCCCATAAAGATATTTTGTAATTGGAAGGGAAAAAATCAAACAAACAAAAAATCCTCACCAAACACTCAGAAAGCATTGTGATACAAAAACTACTAAAGCCCTGAGTTACTTTGACTTTTTTCAGGGTTTTTAGTATGGGAGCTGTAAGGAGAACCCTAAAGCGAGCTGTATGCTAAGATTTGGAAAACTGCTGTGCAAAGAAATCAAGATGGGCAAAAATTTTCAGTTTTATGTAAATCAGAGAATTTCTGATTTCTGCTTCTGATATTTAGAAGCCTCTTATTGTTCCTTGTCTCTCACACCTTTGCTGGAAGTGCTTTCTGTTGCAGGAGCTGATTCACATGTTTTCTCAGGTCCAGCTGACTCGTAGCTGTTTCAGTCTTTGTCCTGGCTGAACTGACCAATACTTTGACACAACTATTACCAGAAAAGAGCATCTTCTTGTTCTTTGCTGATTATTACAGCCTACACATCAGGCAAGACTGTTTCTAACCACAATGAGATGATAAAAGGAAGAAAGCAATTTCTGGTTGAGAGTTTTAATTTCTCTCATTCTGCAGGTACCTCCCTTATGGTTTTCATTTATCGAAAAAATGTTTTTTATTTTCTTTAGCAAAGTACAAAGCTTCAAGTGGGGATGGCACTAACTTTTGAATTCTGGTCTGCTATTTTAGTCTATGGCCACCAAGGAAAATACAACACACTTAGCATGTCAATCACTATTATTTCTTTTGCATGACAGCCTCCATGACTACTTTTAATGTGTAGTTTCTACATTGTAGCTACTGGATAAACACTAATTACCTGTTGGGCATAAAAATTTTAATGGGCCAAAAAGAAATGTCTGGATATCCTGCTAAGCCAGCGAATAAAGGAATATATAATAATTATGAGGACAAGAGTTTTAACTGGATGTATTAGGGAAAAAAGAATGGATCTAGAAAATCACCAATTTCATTGTAAGGTTCAGTACTGGCAAATATATATTAAAAAAAACTGTGGGCAATCCAAACTGGTTTTTTGTCTTTTTTCTGGTCCTGCAGGCCATTTCAAAAGTTCTGTTGTTATTGAGTGGACAATGAAGTATGGCTTTCCTTTATTATGTTATTTTGAATTTAAATTGCCCTTTTCTGTCTAGCAATGTTTTTAGTTCTGATAAACCTGAGGTCATATTAACAAATTTCCTTTTTCACATATTTGAAACTTGCAGTCTTACTGGCAGCTGTGATGGCCTGTCACAGAATCTAAAGATTTTAGACTAATCAATACTAAAAATCACAACAAAATCAGGACAGTGAGCAAAATTTGGAATTGCAAGAAACTCAATAAAAGGTAGCCTACAAAATTAGTCTTTGAAGAAGATGTATGAACTGGAAGAATCACAAATTTGACTTTGAGATGCTTTATGAGCCTACGGTGCTGACAGTTAAACACATTTCTTTTTCATTGTGTAAAAAGAAAATACAAAGAGGGCAAGAGCCTGAGTGGGCCAAAAAATTGTCTTTGTACGCTGAGGTATTGGCAATGTATCAAATACTGGAGCAGATTCTAGAGTTATACTGTGGTAAACCAAAACACTTATATTTTCCATTCTGTCATAAGCCGAATCCCTTATTAATATTCCCTCTACAGTGATGAGATACTTAGCAAGAAGTGTCTATAATTTGTGCAAGCATCTGGACCACCAAAGAATGGGAATGACAGCAACCCAACCTATTAAACCCCAGCTCCACAACCCAAAACTTTTATTACCCAGTTGTTGACTAAAACATTTAATTTAGTTTGGGAGTGGTTTTTTGTTCGTTTGTTTGGGATTCTTTGAGGAAGTTCCTGACTGGACTTCAGGTTCAGTTGAAAAAAATCTACTAATCAACAATGGATTTATTTAGTAATGAATTATTCTACAGACAGAACATAAATAACCGTGTGTTCAAGACCCTGCTCTTTGAAGAAAATGCTTAAGACAGGAAAACTGAGGTGGTTCTGAAGTCAGCTATCCAATGTAATCTATTTATTTGTATACATACAAGTTAAAACAGCTCTACCTGAAAGCTAAGACCTTTTTATCTTAGTCAGTTTTCAGACAGCACTTTGCTTATGAGCATACTTCTAAGCAACAATCGACAAAGCCAAGCTAATGGAAAATATGTAGCGTTTACACAGAATCGGTCACGGGTTATGGACATTTAAGGACAGCTCTGCTAAGTAAAACTAGTAAGATCTCTAACCCCACATTAACCTTGCTATAGCTGTATTCGGCTTTTTTTAGGTGCCGGTTTCACCTGAACCAAATATCCCGAAGGCACCCGAGCCCCAGTGAGGATCTTCTTTTCGTGCCTCTCTCCAGGGGCGGCAGCGACGCGCGGGCAGAAGAGCCCGGCCCGCCCGAGGAGCGAGCCCGGCCCGCCCGAGGAGCGGAGCCCGGCCCGCCCGAGGAGCGGAGCCCGGCCCGCCTGAGTAGAGGCCCGGCCCGCCTGAGGAGCGGAGCCCGGCCCGCCTGAGGAGAGGCCCGGCCGAACGCTGCTCCAGAGGCGGCTGGGGGGCACGGACCGCACCGGGCTCGGACGGGGAGGAGGAGGCGGCGGCAGCCACCCCTCCGACCGCCACCCCGCGGCCGCGAAGGGCGGCCGGCCACACCTGTGCCCCGCGGCGCCCTCGGCTCGCCCCGCCCCGGTCCCTCCCGCTCCGGGCGGCGGGGCGGGCCCGCACCGCCGCTATTTGACCCCGCACCGCGCTCCCCGCGCTCCTCCGCCGCTCTCGCCGCAGCCCCGACCTCGCCCGCCCGCCCGCCGCGCTCGCCCCCGCCATGCCGAACATTGTGCTCTTCAGCGGCAGCTCCCACCACGACCTGTCCCAGCGGGTGGCGGACCGGCTCGGGCTGGAGCTGGGCAAGGTGGTCACCAAGAAGTTCAGCAACCAGGAGACCAGGTGCGTGCCCCTGCCACTGCCAGTGCCCGAGCCCTCGCCGCGCGTCCCCTTCCCACGCCCCGCCGGCGTCACGGGCGCGCCCCGGACACACCCCCGCGCGGCGGCGGGGCCCGCTCCGCTGTCACCGGGACTGGCGGCGGGTTCCGCTCCGCTGTCACCGGGACTGGCGGCGGGGCCCGCTCCGCTGTCACCGGGACTGGCGGCGGAGATCGCTCCGCTGTCACCGGGACTGGCGGCGGAGATCGCTCCGCTGTCACCGGGACTGGCGGCGGGGCCCGCTCCGCTGTCACTGGGACTGGCGGCGGGGCCCGCTCCGCTGTCACCGGGACTGGCGGTGGGTTCCGCTCCGGTGTCACCGGGACTGGCGGCGGGTTCCGCTCCGGTGTCACCGGGACTGGCGGTGGGTTCCGCTCCGGTGTCACTGGGACTGGCGGCGGGGCCCGCTCCGCTGTCACCGGGACTGGCGGTGGGTTCCGCTCCGGTGTCACCCGCCCCGCTGTCAGCCCGGCCTGGCGGCGGGTCCTGGCAGGGCGGCTGTGCCGGTGCGGGACCCGCGTACGGACGGCTCGGTGCAGGCGCAGCCGCGGGAGCCGTATGCCGTGTGTCCCGGGGCCGTGTATCCCGCCCGCACTCATTATTCCTGCTTGTGCCCCTGCCTTCCCCCGCCTGCACAGGCACCGCACCGCAGGTGTCCCTGCTGGGTTGTCCCTTGGGGCGCTCCCGTCGGGAGCTCCTCGGCCGGAGGAGGGCTGGCACGGCCCTAGCCGCGTGAAGAGCATCCTCCCTCCTCTGTAGTGGGAATGGTTTTTGCACAGGCAGCCCGTCTGCGATGTCAGGCGCATCCTGCTGCTCGCAGATAATTAACTGTGCAGTTGATCAACTTTATCTACCGAGAGATAAAAAAAGTCCTATGAACTAGGGTATGCTGTGCAGTTTTTTAACTAGGTCTTCCCTACTTACCTACCTATATCTGCGTACAGGCAGATATGGAAACAGGATGCTGGATTAGATTTTTTAAAGCATCTAAGTCAAATTGCCCTTGCAGAATTTGTTGCAACTGGTCTTTATTTTGCATTAGCAGCCAGGTGTGTGCATGGTGGACCCATTGCAGCTCCTGTAGGGCTCCATTCCCTAGTCCAAGACTGATGGTCATGCATGAGAGCGATGCAGGTTGTTGTGATGGCCTTGGCTCACTCCTGAAAGTGCAGTCATTCCAGATTCCTAGCCAGCCAAACTCCAAAAGTAACTGGTAACAGTGTAAAAAATCCTGTGTGAAACCATGAGGACAGCTTTGCTCACCTGGAGTCCAGGAATGTGCTTGCCAGGACTTTTTCTATCAATGTTGCCTCTCTTTGCTAGTGTGTCATCTCAGCTTTCTGACCCACCTATTTAATTCTCTCAGTTTTAATGAACAGTTTCAAATTGAGGTGACAGTGGTATGTTCACCCCATGAGCTGGTGAGACTGCAACTGCTCCTCTGTGTAGGTATGTGGGTCTAGGCTGCCAGCTGATTCTGAAACAAGCTCCTGCTGTAAATAGCTGGCTAGTCTCTGAGGTTCTTGTGTGTTTATTTTCATCTGTTCTTGTTCTGAATCTCCTGAAAAAGCATGTTTTCATTGCTTCCTTTGAAAGATCACCATGATGTGTTCTAAAATTGCTCTCACAAAGCTTGTCCTTTTCTGTCTACATTTTTGCATTCTCAGTGCAGTTGCTCTTGTTCTAGTTATGCTCACTGGCATTACTATAAACCCTCTTCCATTGGTGTTTATGCAATCTAATGTTTGCACACTCTAACTCTTCTATTCATTCCTGATTAAATGAAAGCTTAAATCTTCTCTCAATTCTTTCCAGCCCCATTCTCACTTTATTGCTCTTTGATCTCCTTTCTGCATGATAAAACTTAACTTGTGTATTTGGTTGCATGAATTCCTTGCTAACTTGTCTAATTTTTTTTAATGTTTCTTCTCCAGAGACACTTATCTTAATCTGTGCTTGAAACAGCAAACAGTAGAACTAAATTGATTTAGATTTCATCCAAGGTAGAAATTTATCACAATTTGCATGTTTATTTTATAAGATAAGTTAATTAAATTCTGGGCTTCAGAATACACCTATTTTTCCAGGTAGGGAATATTCTATTTACCATTAAAAACAAGGTAGTGGTGACTGCAGTGTCTCAGAGGTTTGGCTAATCTAGTAGTGCCAGTTTATGTTTTTAGGCAAGTAGCAATGTACACATATGCAGAATGTATTTATTAAAAACATTATTTCTGGTTGCTTCTGTTGCCACATGGCAATGCTGCCATTATCTTTTTTATTTATTTTCTTCCCTGAACTAATATGGCTTAATGTTTTAAACCTATAAGTGTTTGGGTTTTATTTGGTTTTTTGTTTTGTTTTACAACTTCCTTCGAGAGTCAAATCTGAATTTCCTGTTTCCCCTTCAGCAAATCAGGTTGTATCCACTACATATTACTTCAAGTAATTTTGTCAATATTCTTAGCAACTTACTTCAGGATGTTGACTTTCCAGTTTTCTAGACTAATGTTCTCAATAAAAAAAATCCCCAGCAATAATAGTAAGAGAATTCCTCAACAATGTATTTGAAATTAAACTACAGGTAAAGTTGATACTTATGCAGAGCAGTTCTTTCCTGAGGCATCTGGATTTTCAGTCTTTCTATACTGTTAAACTGCATGTGTATATAAGCAAAAATTTACTTTTTTCTATATACAGTGACTCCAGCGCAGTGCTTTTTAAAAATTTTTCTTGCATTTTTAAATTTATAAACAAGTGTATTGGCATTATGAAATACACTTGCAGTATTGCAGAATCCTAAAACCTGATAGTTAAAAAGCTCAAAGAACCTTAAACCTTCCAGTGGCACTCCAGCAATCCCCCATGCAAACAGATAAGCCTGGGCCTGAGGGTCAAACTCTTGTTTTGTCAGATCTGTTAGCAAGTTGCAGAGAAGATTTACCTTTTGTTCAAAACTCTGTTTTGCTACTTGCTGCATTCTCTTAAATATAAATGATGCATAAATTGACAACTGTGTGCAGCCCCAGGCTTAAATCTGTGCAAGAGGTCCTAGCTGGGAGCCTTTCACTTGAGAGTTGTAATTAGTCTGGCTTGCAGAATAGAGTGAAGGGAAGAGTTATTAAATATTTTGCATTATATTTCAAGTCAGACAGGCTTTAGGTTTCAGTCCCAGTTCTCAGCAGCTGTAAGTGGGTTTGAGAAACTGATGCTGAGGTTAGCCAGGGATAGGACCACCACTGACAAGCACTGTGGCTAAGCTGTATGTTTACAGCTCCAGAACATTTAAAATAGGAAAGGCTCCTCATTTTTGTCTGTACAGAGACTGGTGTATCTAGCAACAGTATCACAGTCATCTTCTGATTGAGGCAATCTATATTCTTTCAGGTTCTGTAGCTGGTAAATGGAAAGCCTGTGCTGAGAAAGTGGGGAAATTGCTGCCAGACTCAATCACTGCCCCATTTTTTTCTTCCTTCCCTTTAAACTGTATGGAAACGCTTTCATTCAGCTGGCTACTAAAGTCAGGCAGCCCTACCAAATGCAGCACCAGAGCTCCTCACTAAGCTCTGGTTGTGGGTGATAACTCTGTTAGTCTGCACAGCTTTTGTGTCAGTTAAGTGCCAGCCACAGTGGCGTGGAAGGCGCTTGGGTGGCACCACCTTATTTATCTGGCAAAATGATAAGGACTGCAGTGGGGGCTTAGACAGTTTATCTTCTTCAAACCCCACAAACCAACTGTCTTCAGCAGTTTTGAGGCTGGAGAAAGAAGTCCTTAAACAGGGATGGCTGTTGTAGCCTCAGCATCATGAAACTGTTTGACTGACATGTAACAGATACATACAGATATTAAGTACTCTGAAGCTTTTTGCAAAATTGTCTTCAAATACACTGAGGTGGCATTTAATTAGAGTTGCTGTACAATTAAACCCTAGTGCAGCTATTTTTGGTGAGTCAATTGAAAAAAATATGATTAAATGTATTACTTTGTAAATAATTTTATTTTCTTTCAAGGTAGGGTATTCTTCCTTCTCTGAAGACTATTTATTTTAACTCTGCCCTTGATATACTTGTTATTCTCAAAATGGATAAACTGCTCTCAGATGGCATTCTTTAGCACACATTTTTCCTGGTGAAAGATGGTTAGTGCTGCCACCCATTCCTGTGAGGTTCCTGGCCTCTTGCTGTCAGATTCACTGGCTGAAGTGAGTTTTGTAGATTTTCTTAATCCAGGAGGAAAGGAATTGAAGTCCTGCCTGGCACATGTGAATTTGAAGGCTTCCTACCCACAGCTTCATTCAACTGCTGAAGTTGGACTATTTCAGAAATATCAAATTAAAGTGAATCTCATTTAGCTTTTGCAGAAGGAAATATGGAATGACTACAAAGGGACATTGTCAGCTTTATGGGAAAAGCTGTGCTGTTTATATGAAAGCCATTTCCTTGTGAGTAAATTAAACTTGATTTTGTGGGCTGATATTTGGTCTTGGAAGTTAGGAAAAAGTAGCTGATGTTTCCCTGGAGAATCCAAGATGGGTTTGAGTTTGTATTTCACACAAAGTGGCAAAATGAAACTAGTTTGTTCCATGAAGAAAGTAACTGAAAAAATCAAGAGTAAACCTGGAAACTTATGTCCTAGGGATTTACAATTTGTCACCTGGCTTTAAGACTTCCTTCTTAATCCCCCATCAGCATCCTTGCACTGCAGTTGTCTCAGATGAGCCATAACTCCACTGCATCTCGTGTAACCTGGTTCCTTTGTGTTCAGCTGCTGTGGAGCCATGAGCTGTATCACCCTCCCTGGGGAGATGCTTTGGTGTTTGCAGATCCCTGCCCATGGAATGAGCCAGCTCAGGTCACAAACTGGTGTTAGGACAGCTGAAGACAGGAGGGACTAGGGACACATGGGGATGTGCAGTGTTTCCTCATAGTGCCCAACAAGTGATTCCCAGCTGCGCTGGTGGTGGTCTCCTTCTCTCAGAGGGGACAGCTGTTTCCTGCTCTCCCAGCTTGCTTACACTGTCATGAGCTAGTGGAAGCTGGAGAAATAGATTTTACCAGCTTGGCTGGAGAAGGTAAAAATTGTTTCTGGACTGCGCACTGTATGTGTTAAAGCCGTAACAGTGTTTTGTTTGTATAGGGAATTGAAGACGCAGCAAATATGGCCATTATTACATTGTTCATTTTTCTGAATTGGAAAAGCACCCAAATCCTTTAAAGCTTTTGGTTTGAGACTTTCACTTATTTGGCCTTGCTGTATGTGGTGCACTTTTATCTTTGTGTAGATGCTAAAACTTGAAATTTAAAAACAACCTCCCTCCCCCCAAAAAAACTCAAACAAAACAAAACAAGAAAAAAAAACAAAAAGAAAAAAAAACCCCACACCACCACCTTCCCCACCCCCCCCCCCCCCCCCCAAGAAAAATAAAACAAAGGCAAGCCAAGCAAAACCCCCAATATGTGCAGATAATGGCTGGCAGTCCCAGGTGTCCTGAGGTGCAGAGTTTGGTACTCAGCCTTTGAAGAGTTTTTGCATGCATTCAGACTTGTTAGACATTCGTTTCCAAATGTTTGAGGGTAGTTTTGGGGCTACCTGTTGTTAAACCCAGAACTTGCTCAAGAAAAGGTGTTTTCCTCTTGCTGTGACAGGCTGTGTGCCAGAGTGGAGGGTAACAAGATATTTCCTATCTTCTAGTGTTTGCCACACCAGTGCTCTGCATCAGAGCTGGGCAGTTGTTAATGGAGATATAGCAGGGGGTTGCCTTGGAACTGTGGAAAAGCCTAGAGTGGAGGGGACGGCACGGCTGCCAGGAGATATGGGATCCCTGTAGCCTTAAAACCAACTCTGGCATTTTTATTGTTTCTTTCTTGCTTTGGGCTTTGCTGGTATTCACTTTATGATGTAACATCACATCAGATGAAATATTTGCCCAGTGAGTTGAAACTCTTGGGTTGAAAGACTTTACTCTGGGAAATGTGTTCCCAAAGGTAAGAGGTCAAACACACCCTGCTGCTCAGTGCTTGCCATTGGCTGGGTTTCAATGTCTTGCAAACTCAGCATGTGGATTTGTTTGATCACTTTTGAGATATTGATTCATTTGCACACTGTATGAGGACTCTAGACCTTCATTTCTGGCCTCTTCTCTGGGTGTTGGAAGGGCCTGAAGTACACATCTACCTTTTTAGCATCTATTTTTTTTGAGAAATCTTACTTTTTATAAGCATGGCTAGAAACTTAAACTGCTTTAATTATTTTTAAAAATACATAGAACCCTTTTAAGTGTATAATTTGAACATCCTAGCTATGTATTTACATTATTTACCTTTGTAGTCTGGCTCTGCATACTTAATCCCCTGTTTCCCACAGCTGCTTGGTTTTTAGTTAGAACACACAAATTTGTAATTCCCATCCCTAAGTTCAGTTGGGACTGCACTATAAATCTGGCTCAAAAGGATCTCAATCTGTGATTACTCCTGATTCTGATTTTTGGTTAATGGATGCTTCAGCCATTGGAATATGTTTGTAACCTAAGTGGGTTTCATGCTGTATCCTTAATTCATGGTTGTTAGTCTGTCCAAGTTTCTGCTTGTTAAATGGAACATTCAAATCAGCCTTTGCAAGTTGAAGGCAGATACCAACACATAAGCTTGGTATTCATCTTGTCCTGTCTTATGTGTATCTTTCCCAGCTAGAGCCTTGTGCTGGATGCCAAGCATCTGGCTCAGAGTTAATTACCTTTGTTTGCTATTGATTTTGTAAATTTCCTTTTTAAACACAATTGTGTGGTGTCAGGGCTTTTAATGTGCAGGTTCTGTTGACTCTTCTTGAACAGAAATTTATTTAAACTGTTAACAAATAGGTGAATTTGATTAAATTGCATAAAACAAACAGAGCTTGTAATCTTGAGGCAAGAGCTTGTGTTTGTGTCCTTCCTCTGTGTCCTGACTATGTGAAATTGTTTAAATAACCTCATAAACAGTTAATAAGGTCATGATATAGATGGGGGAATTTAGTAGCAATGTTAATAAGATAACTGTCACAGAGTTTGACTGCAGTTAGCTTAGCGTTGTCTAATAGATATTTGAAATACAACATTCAAATACCTGATTCTGTAGTTTATAGTCTTTTATTGGTTGCCTGAATATGAAAAAAAGAGAAAGGGATGGGGCAAAAACTCCACAAACCAAAACCAACCCTAATTGCCAATTCCCTGCTCTCCCTCCAGTCAAAAAAACCCAAAACCAAAAAAAAAAAACACCACCCAAACCCCCACCAGTGTGATAAGTACAGGCTGTGTCTGCAACACAATGACTGGTTATCTTTTACTCTCTAGCTTGGGGAAGGTGAAATAGGCAGCTCTGTGTGTATCTGTTGGTTGAGTCCACACAATACCTCCCAATCTTTGAGAAAGTAGATAATAAGAGATACTGATCTGTTGTACAGCTCTGTCTTGTTGCCTGGGAAATGTGACTACCCACATTTCTATGCGACAAGTATGTATGTCATTCTAGCCTTAAAAACATGGCTACACTTCTTTTTCAAATTCACTAAGAGAGAAAGAAGTAGGATGTTTGTTTTCTAAGTTGGTTACAAGTTGATGTTTATTGGTAGCCCAAGATCATAAAAAAAAATACAATTAGTGACAATGGAAAAATAACATGGTATTAACCAGACCTATATTTATCTGAAATTATATTCCTTGACCTTCTGAAAACTGTGATTTTTAATGATGTGCATATTAGTGACAATTTTTAAAAAGGGTAAAACAGCTCCAAGTGTTCTTTCGGTATATAGTGAACACTAAGATCCTATACTTTTGTCACTCAGCCAATGTTTTTCCTAGTATGTAATGTTAGACTGTTAAATTAGCTGATCTTTTTTTTTCTTAAGTAATAAAATAATTTTTCTTTGGGCATATTCCAAAGAGGTGTGGTATGAGACAACATTCATTATAAAGCAGGTCTGTGTAACTGCTGAGTCAGGGTGCAATTAGAATTTTTTAAAGCCCTCACGATAACCACAAAGCTATAATAATGATTGCAGCCACATCTGTAAGCTTGTCAGTAGATTCCTCACATGGAGCTGGGTTTGTGTTCAGAAGGGCTCCTACTTAAGCCTGCCTAGTTTTTTCCAATCATGTATCACACTTAGTATCTTGCTGAAAAAATGTTATGTTGACCAAAACTTGTCCAGCTTCAAAAAGGGAAACAAAAAATATTTAAATCAAAGCACAATTCTCTGAATGGCCTCATTCCATTGATCAAAAACTAAGAGAGGAAAATAACAATTTTGTGCCTAAAAAATGAAAGCCTCCAAAAGATTTCCTGACATATCTGCATATAATGGTGTTCTTGATCACCTCTGTCCTTCCAGAGACCTGATGTTTGATGATTTGCTTTCTTTTGACCTTAAGAAATCCTGCTAGTAGCATTCTTAGGCAAAAAATGTATTCAGTTAAGGAGAAAACTTAATACAGGATCTTTGGATAGTTTGTTTGGGGCTGCAGAGAACTCAAATAGGGCAGCTGAGAGCATGTACTCAACTATCTTGATAGTGATAAATAAAATGTGTGCTTATCATTAAGATGTTTAAAAGCAGTAAATTCCTTTCTGCAGAAAGCTCATGAGTCTTACATAGCACCTGGAGAGTTGATAAACAAAACTTGTTAGGACTGTGTTTGACTAGAGCAAGCCTCAGCATTGAAGGACCCTTTAGAGTAATTATTCTACTCACATCTGGGCCACTTGGATGGTTTCCAGTCAGAAACTTGAGCTTATTTGTGTCTTGGGTAAAGGTACAACCTTTTAAAAGTTCAATATATTCTAGCATTTAATAACTGAGACTAACATAGTAGAGCATGAATTTGCAAGGTCTGATCACTTAATTACTTAGGAAGTCTGTATGTTTTGTGTACATTGTACATAGATTTAGGGAAAAAATAAGGTTTTTCTGTTATATTTATGTGTAAGTTTTGAAGTAACAGATGTGAAAAGTTAGTGTGGTTCAGTAGTAGATGTCTTTTACTTGGATCTAGAATTGAGAAAGAATTACGCATGCAACAGTTTTGTTTTATTTTTCCTGTTTAAGTTCAATTTAATTTTTGAATTCTGTGGTGTGATCAGTGATTGATCCCAGAATTTGTCTTGAAATCTGTGGAAGAACAAAAAAACTTAAATACTCACAAAAGGAACCAAAGCACATAAGCACAGTCAGAGGAAACAGAACACAAAATGGCACAAAATGAGAGCTGAGCAGTGGCAAGCTGTTGATTGGCAGCCTTAGCTTTTCTGTAAGATTTTTGTCTCTTAAAAACACTTTACTTGAACATCATGGTGTAGATTTTAGAGCTGTTGGTTGGTGCTGACCTGATGAAGACCATACTGGCTTATATTAAAATTGTCAAGGAGCTCTTATAGAAATCGCTGTAAAAATAATCCTACCCTAAATGGGAAGTTTACAGAAGACCTACGGTAGTTTGTTAAAACACAACTGTTTGGGTTTTTTTATTATTTTTTAGTAATGCCTTTCCAGTAATTTAAGTGTTGAAATTATCATCTCCTGCTCTTTCAGTGTAGAGATTGGTGAAAGTGTGAGAGGGGAAGATGTATATATTATCCAGAGTGGCTGTGGAGAAATAAATGACAACTTAATGGAGCTGCTCATCATGATCAATGCTTGCAAGATTGCATCATCCTCCAGAGTGACTGCTGTAATTCCATGTTTTCCATATGCCAGGCAAGATAAGAAAGACAAGGTAGGTAAGAATTGTCATTTTGGAAGGCTTCTATTCACTTTGCTTACTTGAAATTTTTTGCGATTAACAATTTTCATAAACATTTAAGTGATTTGAAAGATTTGATTCCCCCCCCCCTTTTCTCTTAGTAAAATGTTCAGTTAGTTTATCCACAAGGAATGGAGCGAGACAAATTAGCTTTTTTGTTTGTATTTTGATAATTGGCATGCCTTCAGTTTGCAAAAGTAGGTATATTCTATGTGTGTGGTCTTTGCAGAGTACTTTGCTAGCAAACTGCATTTTATGGGATTGTTTATCCTACTTTTTCAAAGTTCTTTTTTTGTTTTTAAATCCCTATTAATTTGGATAGAACACCTTTTTAAGCATTTTAATTGCATGGAATTAAATACTGAATTCAAAGTGCTGTAACAATTATGTAGGTAGGTTTTTTCCTAGATGGTTAAACAGAGCAAAATGGAAGGAACTGATAAAATCCACAATACATAACAGAAATTACCAAAAACATTATTTTATGCTGCCAGACAGATTTAAAAAAATTTATATCGGTAATATTTTTTTTTATTTATGAAGACAAGAAATTGTATGGAAACCCTATAAATACTCTACTGATTTTCTTGCCCTTTTCCTGAATTTGGTCTGTCATAACTGATGAATATATCAGTACAGTCCAGTTGGTAACACAATAACAAACCCTGTGTGGGAAGTGAGACTGATTTTAAAAAAGAGAAAACTGGACTTTATCTCTACTATATGTACAAAAAAAGACCCTTTGAGAGGTTATATGAATGGTGCTTTTACCTAAGCTCACTTGAAAAGAAGTAATAAGAAATGTGAATTTGGCTTTAAAGATTGGATTGTAATGGTTTTGTTTTTGGAAAATTGTCTCTCTCCTTTACTTTTTATAAATGGACTGCCTCCTCTCTTTCACTTTGGGCATCAAATCATTCTGCAAACCTTCTGTTGATTCTGATATTCTTTTAGATTAAAAACCTAACAGGACTGAAGTAATGGAGAAGCTAAAAATAATGGCAGTTATTATAAAATATGTAATAGTCAGCCTGTGATATCGAAGAACAAAACTAAAAAAACTTATTTTCTGGTATATTAGTTCTTTAACTGCAGGCTCTGTAATAGCATACTACTACTATAAAAGTCTACTTGATATACTTTCAAAAATGGAATTCAGGAATTAAAATGTAAGACCCTATTCTATGTCTACATCTCTTGGTACTTCATTTTTGTTGTGTTTTGTAGTGGATGATGAAGTACTTTATACCAAAAGACCTTGAAAGGGCACCAGTATGCATTTTGTTGCTAAGAAGGGAAAGCGTCTCACTATGTTTTGATTTCCCACTTCATATTGGGAAGTTCTGCTGTACCATCCTCTAAGTTCTTGGTGTGGGAAAAGGATGAATATATTCCAAAATTTCCATGCCTCTAAATTGTCGTCTCAAGGGTACCCAAATTTCATGTGGCAGACTTCCAGAGACGTTTTAACCCCACAGTGTGGTGGCACAGTGCATGCTGTCCAGGAACATTTTGTATTTCAGAAATGCTGTGGAAAGTGATTACTGTTCTCTGTGTGTCACTGAGTTCCACAATTGTGGGCATATATTTTTTGTTGCTGTTGGTGTTTGTGGGGGTTTTTATCCCCCTCAGTTTTGCAATTGAGAAAATGTTTGCCATCTTTGGAAATTAACCTTGTTAGTTGACCTCTGTGTTGCAAAATGAGCTATAATACAGCTGTCAACATTGGGCAGCTTATTGACAGGGACATCTTCCCTCCTGCTTGCATCAGATCACTTGGTCTTTGACCCGTCATGAGTGCACGAGCTTTGTGTGCTGCCTGAAGTGTCAGTAAAGTGCCAGCCATTTTCTACCTGTGATCACACACAGATTTTCTTCTATGGTGGAAGACGTTGCTGTAGTTTGCTTGACTTTGAATTGAAGCAGTGTAATCTTCAGTACATGGATGTTGTTTTCTAGTTTGAATTTAAGTTAGTGGCTTTAATGCGTTATGAACAAAATAGACTGAGTCCTTGCTGCTTAAAATAAGCATGTATTTGTCATACCTCTGGTGCAGTTATGATTTCTGAGAACAATGAAAGTGCTCTTCATTTATTCATGTAAGGAAAGGGCCTTGTAGTAAAAATCTTAGTCTGAGCAATTTAATCTACTCTGAAAATTTTAGCACTAAACCTGAACTATCTTTAAATGAGAAACAGATTTTAAAAAAAAAGCAAAAACAAAGGCTTACTAAGAATTATAAAAAAGTCAGTAAATTAATTTAGATTCAGTCAAGTGCTGCCCTAAACTAGAATATTTCTGATGCACAAGCTAGGTAAACTTAAAAATAGCTCAGATGTTTCTGTGCTTTGACTATAACTGCATTTATGCATCCTCTAATTATGCCAACCTTCCAAGCTGTGGGCAGGAAACATTTATGTAGGATGCTGTAGAGATGCCTTTGAGATAAGTTAGAAGTAGTGACAGATGAGTTTGGTGTTCTACAGCTCATGTAACTTTGTTTTTTTGATTTGTAGAAGGGGTCCGTGGAGCGTTGGGTAGGTATAATTTATTTATTTTTTTTTATCTAACACTGTGCATTTCCATTAATATGGCCTGAAAGGGTGAAACTCACTGGGTTACATTATGTATAACTAGGAACATTTTCAGTTTCACTTCTTGATTTCAGTTGTGTTTCACCTAGGCCATGACAGTAATCCTGTAGAATAATTGCTACAAGAAAACCCCTAGATTCTAGTTTAAAAATTATTTGGATATTCAAGATAATGGCTGTCAATTTCTGAGGCTTCAAAGCAAATCTCTAATTTTTGAGATTATAAATTTGGTAATGCATTAGTTAACATTCCGTAATCCATACACTTCACAACTGGCTTTCTTGGAAGTGAAAGTTCCAGTTATAAATATTTGGGCTTTCTTTGGTTTTCTTTTTTTTTTTTTTTCTGTTCAGTGTGCATGTGATGAATATTGAACAAGACAATGTACTAAGATGCTTAAAGGCAACAGAGCTTTGATCTTAATGGACAACTTTTACTTTCAGCAATGTGTCCTTTGCACAGTTACTTTTGTGGTGTTGTTTATATTAGCTTTGTGGATTCCTCCTGCCACTGGTAATTCAAGTGATTTTTTAACAATTTTGTTTCTGTAAATAATCTAATGCTGCATTTCACACTAACTGAAAATAATCTAAAATTACATCAAAGAATTGAACAATGAATACTGTGAATCTGTGTTTTTACCTCTCTCATCAGAAGGGAACCTTACAAACTATGTTATAAGGAAAATCCTGAGTTCTCATTCACCTTTGTCATCCAAGTTTCTGAATAATAAGGTCAGGTTGAATGAGGTTCCCATGAAGGAATGTGTCTAGCCTGGAAAGATAGGATAGTACAAGCAGGAGAGCAAACCTCTCATTTCAGATTTACCTGTTAGTCCAGCTTTAAACTAGAGGTTTGGAAAGAGCTGGTAAGAGAACACTGCAACAGAATGAAAAGAGTAGATACTATTTTTTTTTTGTTAGATGTTGACAGAGATTTGAGAGTATTTTGAAGTCCAGCTTAAAAGTGTCAGGTGCTAAAATGAGCTGAAGTGATCAGGAATTCAAATGGCATGAACAAAAATTTGCTACTAATAATAGAAATATCCAGAAAGCTTTGGATAACTTGCAGAACTGAACTTAAATGAAGAGCAGTGTTGTTCTCAGTAAGTGGAAAATCAACTGTGCTGAAGCAGTAATGATGATGAACTCTTCTGGAAGTGATATGCATCTGAATTGCAGAGATCTAGGGAAGTGCTGGCTGTTGCATCTGCTTTCTGTGTGTCTTACACTGACAAAATGGTGGTGATGTTCTGTGAAACACAACACACAAAAGTGGTGGTTTCCAAAATGAAGAATTTCAGTAATGATGGTGATAAACTTGATCTGGCCATAAAACGAGACTGTAGTATCACAGTTTCTATTCTGGAAGTGTGTTGTCAATCTGCAGATTAAAACAGAGAAATGCCCAGTGTCCACTTAAGCTAGGAACAGTTTTGATGAAAACAGTTATGATGAAAGTACAAATGGAAAAGCATCCAGGCTAAATTGTCAGTGATTCAGCTCATTGTCACTTATGCCCTCAAGCGTCAATGGAAGGGAGGCAGAGGTACCCTGTAATTGTGTGTATGAGCTGGAAGGAGAGGAAGTTCCTGGGAGGTGAAATGAGGCTGTTTGATAAAGAGATGTAGCAGGAGAGAATACTGTGCCAGCAGAAAGCAGTCTGATACTGAGATGGAAACTCTGACTTGCAGTTCTGCCTTTATGCTAATGTTATTGCCAGCTATTAGCCTTATTTAAAGATTAGCAAAAGAAAGCAGGAGGTTTTGTTTAGTGTAGAGAAAACTGTCTAGGGAAAGACAGGTTTTTACAGAGCTTAAAAAATGAAAAAAACTTTGGAGTAACCAAAAAATAGTGAGGTATCCTCCAGAGTTTCCTTGTTTTTGTTTGTTCTGCATCCTTGATGCTTTTAAAAACCTCTTGACATTGGCATTAACTTTGCTAATAAGATTTTTATTCTTTTCATTCTTTCTACTTAGGATTTCTTCAACCTCCCCTGTGCCTTTTGGGAGTTCTAGACTCCTAATTGCATCCAGGAATTAAACAGAAATTTACAAAAAAAAGTCAGGGTAAAAGACCCCTGCCAACAAGGATCTGCTACAAGCTTTACTGTGTTATGAAGAAATACTTGATACTAACATTGTTTTAAAGCAGTGTTCTCAAAAGTTGGGTCCATTTTGCCTTCCATCTTCGAATTTTGCAGTGTTTCTTAGAATAAGATAGAATGGGGTGTTTCTGTGGAGTAGAAAAGTGAAGTTAGCTGAAACTTTTAAGTAGAAGAATTGGAAAACTATATCCCAAATTTTATCTCTTTAATACAAAGCATTATTAGGCAGACTGTGCAAGCTGATTTAGATCTTCCTAAATGCTTTACTGAGTTTCAAAACCCTAGTAGCAAGATTGACAGGCTGGTTTAAACTAAAATTCTGAAGCTTTTCATATCTAGAGTCCAGATATTGTAAAAGGAAAAAAACCAAGAAAAATAGCTAATCTTCTGATTCTGTGCATCTAGTCAAAATATTTTTTAAATGTTAATGTTTGTGCTTTATTTCTCAGAGCCGTGCACCAATCTCTGCAAAACTTGTTGCCAACATGCTGTCAGTGGCAGGGGCTGACCACATCATCACCATGGACTTGCATGCTTCTCAGATCCAGGTTGGTTCTTACCTGCTGTCCTAGAAGCTCCACTGAATTAATGTGACAAGATGATAGTAATTCTCTATGGCTTTGGTCATTAATTTGAAAGGCTGTGTACAGAACTGTGAGGGTTCACAGTTGCTACCTGTTTCTAATGAAACTCCATTTTAGAAAGAAACCAGTCTCGATTTTATGAGGTGATTTTGCAGTTACTTCAAATATTTATGCATTGGAGCTGTGGTAGAATTTGCCAAGTCTAATGTAAGAGCTTCCAGAATATAAAATATACTGGCTTGGGGCAAGTTCTCTTAATCTTAGCCTTGTCAGAGATTATAGTATTGCCCTAGGTAGAGTTTTGTTGTTACAGCCAAGGGTGTAATATTTTCTTAAAAGAAGTGGAGATGGAGCCTGGCAACCCTTATCTGGCTTACTGCTGAATCCAACAAATCACAAAACCTTTGCCTCAGACTCAGAGCAGACATAATTTGTCATTCTCATGTGTACCTTGTTTTAAGAGAACTTATTTTTTACAGAAAACACCAAATCCTTCAGTTCTGGTGCTCCATTTAATCAGAATTTCTTATTATGCTAGATGGCTGTCACATAAATAAAAAGGTCCAAACCAGATTTCTCGTTTTTACAACTTGTACCAAGATTCCATTTTGGTTTGCATCCTCCCCATGTTGAAATACTGCTGTTAATGTCAAGCAGTTGAAATTTATGGAAGCTGAGTATTATTCACTGGATATTTTGAGAGCTTTTCACTAGCATGAATTTACTTGAGTGCCTGAAGGTGATCATCTTTCCTGATTTTTATATCAATTGGGAACACCTGTTTCCTTTTTCACTACTCTTGGGTGATATTTTTCAAGGCCTTAATGTTTATTTGACTTCAGCAGCATTTGACAGTAGTATCAAAAGCAGAATTAGACCAGTGTAAAATACTAATGAAGTTCTGCCATTTATGAAGGGCAAAGGCTGGATTCTTTCCCTTTGTCTTCATTCCAGGTAAGATACAAACACGTATTTATGAAACTCTTTCTCTTTTGGACTAGGGTTTCTTTGACATTCCAGTAGATAACCTGTATGCAGAACCTGCAGTCCTGCAGTGGATTAAAGAGAACATTCCTGAGTGGAGAAACTGTATCATAGTCTCACCTGATGCAGGTGGTGCAAAAAGGTACTCTACAAACCTAAACCAATTAGATGTACATATAGTTAGTAGTTAATGATCTAGTTTGTCTAGTCTTCTATATTCCTCTAGAATTGTGCAAAATAAAGGGTACAACACTGATGAATCCAACTGCATTGTAGAAAGAGAACAACTACTTCTTCCAATGCTGTTCATGCTTAAAAACATTCAGGAGCTTTCTATACTCTAAAGATATTTTTCTCTCTCCCTGGATGTGGCCTCATTAGCTGAATCCCTCCACCAGAGGGAAGAGATTTTCCCTGCTGCTTGCCTCTTTAGCCAAGTTGCTGCACCTCTTCCTGCTTCGCTCTGGAATTGCCTAAGCTTCCCTTCTCTGTCAAGGCATATGGCCTATTCCCACTCTACCTGCTGCCATTTAGGTAAGAGCTTGCTTGACTCATTTCTTTTTTCTTTACATTATTGCATTCCAGATGTAAACCTGCTGACCCCAAGTTTTGCACTATAAATACTAGAAAAAGGGAATGAAAGTTTGAGTGGCAAAGGGTAAAAATAGAAAACTTAGTTCATTGGAGGCTTTCTTCATTCACAGCATGTGTTACTCATTTAGCAGACTCTGTTTTATTTGGTATTGATTGAGCATAAACCAATGCCAAAGCTCAGAAGCAGGCTGGCTGGTGAGGTCATAAAGCATGCCATTGAGGCAAAATGCTTATTCTCAGGTTTTATTGCTCATGCTGCTTCTGCAGAGGGAACAAAGACAAATGAAGTAAGACTCCTGTAAGCCCGTAGCAATTTAAATGTCTGAACTGTAGTATGGGGAAAAGTGTTAAAGACTGTCATAATTTGATTTTAATTGAAGTCCTTGAGTCTGTTGTGAGTGTTCATGTTATAACGATCTTTCGGGAAATATGACTGAGTGGAACTCCTAGTTGTTAGTTTGGGTTTTTATTTAGATTAATCAAATTAAAGATGTGAGAAACATAGAAAGAATTCTAAAAGATCACTTAGTCAGTTAAATTTCTTTGTTCCTATCAGGATACTGTTATTTTTGCATTTGGTTTTTATGTTGGTTTTGTTTTTAATGCAAAATGCAATCTTCACTTAGAATTCAAGTCAGAAGGCAGCATTTTCCCCCTACCAAATATTTTTGCTTTATCAAATTAATTATACAAGTTTATTTTTTGAAGATACCTCTCACTGTATTTAGTAAAGATAGTAAAAGAACAAACTGGAAAAAGGCAATCAGAAGTCTGTAACAGGTGAAGTTTATTATTAGAAGTTTGTTTGGCCACCAGAGGTCACCCTGAAGAGTTTTAAAAGATCTTTGTCAAGCAGAATGTATGCTAAGGGAATTATTAATGAAGTAAGCTACTTGATTACTAGTCAAGTACTGTGAAAAGAATTATTAATCACTATTAACTTGTTTGGGTTTTTTTCTCCCTTTGGCTTGATTTCAAACCATGCAATGGTATTTTCCAGTTAGAGTGTTAAAGTGCACATTCCCGTAGGCTTAGAATTTACTTCCCCCTACTTTAAATTACCTAGTGTGACTGGTATTGCAGCAGCTTAATAAAAGCTTGTGAATATCTGAAATGTTTTCAAAGCCAGGCACTTAATGACAAAAACTAAAGTCAACTCAATTAAAAAACTGATATTTGGGGTATAGCTTAAGACACTCTGGTTCATAATTAGCACTGAATTAGGATTGCGTCTACCTGTCTCATTCCTTGCAAAATTTTTGCTGTAGTAATTTCAAAGCCAGAAGACAAAAAACTGTGTCTTGTGACAAAAACATTTGTATGACTGTTTTTTCTTTTAAAATGGTTCTCTAAACGTGGTGCATTTCTTCCTGCAACCTAGGGTTACTTCAATTGCTGACAGACTGAATGTGGAATTTGCACTCATTCATAAGGAAAGAAAGAGGGCAAATGAAGTGGACAGAATGGTCTTGGTTGGTGATGTGAAAGACAGAGTGGCAATTCTTGTTGATGATATGGCTGACACATGTGGCACAATATGTCATGCAGCAGACAAGTAAGTGTTATTATGGTCTGTCTCACTCACTGCACGGCTGATGGATACAGTTGTCCTCAAAGCCTATAACCCATCCTGACCTCTCTAGTATGAAGTCATTCTGACCCTTGAATTGATAGGTCACAGTTCTGTGATTCAGCTGTGTCCTTCTTTTGAACATGAAATTGAGAAAATATTTACAGAAATATATGATCTGTACCTAGGAAGAGCACAGAATAAATAAAGTGTCGTAACTTGAAAAGCGCTTGGGCCATCTAGTGCACTTTACAGTTCTAAGGCAGGAACAACAGCTCAAAAATCATTCCCTCTTTGAACCTCATCATGGAGCCTTTCCACTCTTCTCAGGCAATCTTTAACAAAGCTTTACTGGATTTAACACTAAAGTGTTTTTACTGTAGTGTCCAATGCAAATGTAATATTACTTTTCACTGTACATCTTAAGCATAAAACTACTTGTCCTTTTCATCTGCGGAGATGAGCATAAGTTTTCCTGTCTTCTGTCTGAAAGTTGGTTGAAGAGTTCTCATTTCCCTCTTGACTAGAGTAACTTGAGTTTGTTCAGTCTTTCCACAAGATTTTAGACTTCTTTTCAATTGTGATGCCTTCTGGATTCCTTCTAGCTGGTCTACTTGAAGAGGAGCTTGTGAATGTAGACCCACTATCCTAACTAAGGCTCTAGCAGTAGAACTAAGGCTCTAGCTGAGCAGAAAGGATTATTTATGGTTTTCCAGGTGCCTTTATAGTGTTTTTTTTCAGGTTAGTAGTAAGGCTGGCTCGTGTTAATCTGGTTCTCAACCAGCACCCCAGGTCCTTTTCCACCAGACAGCTTTTTTTTCAGCCTCTCTTCCCTGAGCCTGTGGCACATCATGGGGTTGTTGTGACCAAAGTCAGGACCTAGGACTTGGCCTTATTGAACCTCTTGCAAATGGCCTCAGCCCATTGATCCAGCCTGTCCAGATCCCTCTGCAGAGCCTTCCTGCCCTCAGGCAGATCAACACCCCCACCCAACTTGGTGTTACCTGCAAAGCTAACTGAGGGTGACCCCAGTCTGCTTGTCCAGATCCCTGATGAAGATGTCAAATGGGTTTGGCCCTAGGGGAACCCCACAAGTGACTGGCTCCCACCTGGATAAAACTCCATTTGCTACCGCTTTCTGGGCCCGGCCATCCAACCAGTTTTTTACCCATTGAAAAGTATACCTGTCCAAGCTACACAATGCAAATTTCCACAGGGGAATGCTGTGGGAAATGGTATGAAAGCAACAAGTGAGTTAGACATTGTTCTTGGTGGTTTGAAGTAGAGTTAATATCACAAGTTTACAGTCTTTAGTTGCAGACTTGCTGTTTGCACCTATATAAAGGATGTCAAAAACTCACATGTAATCTTGTATTTCTTACATTTTTCATGGAAATTTGATGAAATTTTGCAGAGATATTGTGTAGTTGTTTGCTATCTCCATCCTAATCTACATCATACCTCAAAGTATTCTTTTAGGCTGTGCCCTTTGCAGATCACAAATTGCCTAGCCAACATCTTTTTAATACTCTTGTGCATAGAAGTTAATTACTGTGAAAAACCTTTATTTCTTTCCTGTTTGAGAGAAGCACTCTTTATTTACCTACAGTGCATTTCTAGAGACAAAATAGACCAAATTCTAAAACTGTCAATCACCTTCAATGTATCTGCAGTGTTCACTAAGAAAGATGTTTTAGCTTCAGTGATGTTGCCTTGTGTCATGTTCTTAGCATGAATTAGTGTTTTTCATTAATGTCAAATCCAGGTGGGATGTACTTTGTGTATAATAAGACTCATGCACCAAAATACTCCCTAGAACTCTTTTTGCCTCAGCAACCTAGATGCATATCAAGGAGATGAGCTAAGGAACATATTTTCAGATACAACAAATGACTTTGTGATGATCTGATAAAATTCCTCAGGGCCTCTGTTTCTAAGGCTAGAGAAGCAGGTAGGACATAGCTGAGCATCTGGAGGCATTGAGGCCATTAGAAACTAAATTAGGATATTTTGAGTCATTCACAAGGTGTTCTACTTCTTTGATTTATACTTTTTTCTTCCTCATGCATCACTTCACTGAGTGCTTGGATCAGCAGCATGTCTTCCCACAACCTTGCAGTAAGCTACGGTTTTAATCATTAACATTTCTTCTTCCTCAGAAACTCCTTCCAAGCAGAACTGTTTGAATTGCAAATGAAAATAAAGGGGGACAATAATGGAGGCACAATGGAGTTGTGAATATTGCCATCCAACCTATTTAATTTTTTGCCTGGTTAAGATAGAAAGCTTGTACTGGAGGTCATTTTTATGTTTTGCTGGTGTGGTCAAAAGCACAGCATTGTAGATTAGTAACACTGCTGCAAATAAGAACATTTTAATTTAATTATAATTTTTGTTGGGGATTTTTCTGAGACAATTCAAACTTCTTCAGGTTATACAAATATCAGAATTATTTTGTAGGTATTTTATATATAGGATTTCATAAGTAAAATGCATTTTAGAGATTTGTATCTGGCTTCATCTATAACCATATATGTACACATGCATCACAGCATGCTATTTTTGTGTGTTCTACAGGTTAATGTCTGCTGGAGCTACTAAAGTTTATGCCATTCTGACTCATGGCATCTTTTCTGGTCCTGCCCTCTCTCGGATTAATAATGCATCGTTTGAGGCTGTTGTGGTAACCAACACAATCCCCCAAGAGGAGAAAATGAAACATTGCCCAAAAATACAGGTACAGTGGTGTTATGTCATTTCTTTAGACTCAGTATTTGTATTTTACTGCTCACTGGTGCTAGAATTTGTGCCTTGAGATGAAATTAATATTCTTAAATACATTGTTTGCAAAACATTTTGCCAAAACATGCTAAAGAACTGTTTTAAGGGGATTCAGGTAATATAATAGGGCACTTCAAAATATTTATTTGCCACACCTTGAGTACACTTGATTGTTGAAAGAGTGACAAATGTAAAATTGACTGGATTTTTCTTCTTTTTTTTTTTTAATTAATATTATTCATAAAATATTTGGATGTAGGACCTTAGTTATTCTGTTGAGGAGGCCACAGAAATCTTAGGTGACATTATTTTTCCTTGAAAAACACAAATGGAATTGTTCTGAAAAGTCCCGTGTCCCTTTTGGAGGTTTTGCTTAGTATAGAGTGGAGCAAAGCATAAAGGATTGAGGTTTTAAATGCATTACTGGATTTTTTAAAAGCTTAACATTTGGTATTTATTGAAACAGGGCAAGCACTTAAAAAGGTGTACTTCCTTTAAATTGTATTTATGTCAAGCAGACACTGCCATCTGATGGCAAGAATAGTGGGGCTTTTTGACAGCATGCCCTTTGTCAGAAGTACTCAACAATATGAGCATTCAGTGATCCTAGTCAATGCATTCCTACTAAATTTTTGAGTTCTTATTTGGTATTATTGCAGTTCTTACGTATATATTCAATGCCTAAGCTTTAATGTTTTATTACTGTCTAGAAATAAAAGCTAAAAAGGTAGATGGACTGTTTGTTTATATGGCTCTAAACTGCATTGTTTATTGCTCTTGGCATGCCATCAAATTTTTCTCCTCAATTTTTCTTTCAGTTTATTGACATTTCCATGATCCTGGCAGAGGCAATTCGAAGAACACACAATGGTGAATCAGTGTCTTACCTGTTCAGTCACGTCCCCTTGTAACTGCAGGGGATTACACTGCATCTTTGCAAAGGTCTCTTAAGTTAGCACTGTTTTTAACTCTGCACATCAACCATGAGAAATTATTATCTTTGTACAATTCAAGAGCTTGTATGTATAATAATCAAATTTGTCTTGTAATTAACATTTGTTCTTTGTAAATGGGCAATAAATCTCCATCTTGCAGAAAACTTAAGAATTCTCTTCAGAGTCTGGAAGTCTTGTGTGTTGTGCAAGTTCTTCTATGTGCCTGTTCTCACATTTGGCTAACTGCTGTGTCAGATCCACTTTTCTATACAGAACTACAAACTGTTCACAGAACTTAACAGGATGTACATGTGTAAGATCATTCTCTGTGTTAAGCTAAATGCTACAGACCTGAGTTTCTTGTATCTATTAATCTGTTGGGGTTTTTTGTTTATGTTTAAGTACCATGAACAGTATTTTGTAAGCCCTAATATGTAAAGGTCATGTTAATTTTGAGGAATTGTTAACACATACATAGGATGACCTGTTTGATACATTTAATGTTCACCTTTTTCCCCACAAGATATTTGGGGCTGCTGTTTTCTTTTGTAAAACTCTCATCACATTAAATTGTTTGTTTAACATCTATTCTGTAAAGTTGCTGTCTTGTAAGATTGATGTTCCAGTATTATTAGTATCACTTGTCTAAACAATGACCAAGCTTTGATCATGAACAGTTTGGTGTAAATTTCATTTTTTTTCTCTGTCATTTTAGACATTCCCTGATTGTGATGGTAGGAATAATTTTATAAAAGCTTTCCTGTCAATATTATAAAGATTTATTGTGCCAAGTCCAAACAGAAAATTAAACGCACTTACACAGACTGGTCTGTACCATCGTTGAAAAGCATCTGAAAATAAAGGGGTTTTCAGCCTGCACAGTCAGTGGATCTTCTCCAAATTCCTGTTACAAAATACCACAATATTTGACTGTGCAGTGAGTGAGCTAGGCTACAGTAACAAATCATGAATGCTTTAACATTAGAGAATTAAAGTCATTATGAAAACAATTTTTCCTGTTGTATTGTGGGAGAGTTTATGGTTAAATATGGGTAATGCTGTCAGTAATGGATTAGGGCAGGTGGTCGGGACTCAAAATTGTAATTTGTAATTAGGTCTTTGAGTCCTATTAGGAACTGTTTTCTGTCTTTCTGTTAGAAGAGTAATGTGTATTAAAATAATATCCCTTTACCTGGATCACAGGAACTCAAGTTTCCTACCTGAAATTGCAGTTTTTAATTGCAAAAGCATTGCCATACTTGAGAAGTGCTTCCTTGCTATAGTGCTGTATAAAAAAGCCCCTTATTTCATCCAATCTTGCTTATTTGGAGATATATTTATAATAATACAATGATGGAGTATAAAGTGATTTTTTCCTTTCCAGTTAAGACAATCTTCAGAAAGGTTTGTTTTTTTCTCTGAGAATAAATCCATTTGGTCTTTATTTTTTTTCCCCAAGTAATTTTCTGTTGTTTCTGTGAAATTATTTTCTTCTACATGAAAATAAGTAAAACAGAATTTCACCTGTACTGCTTTCAGTGATGAATACAGAAATAAAGTATATAAACTCTTGTGGTGAGAATTCAGTTCAATTGCTTTTTCTCAGAGAAGTTCCTCATTAGAGTTGTATTTTCAGAATTATGTTAGAACAGTGGAAATGAATTTACAGTCTTTGGTAAGGAAATTTCTTAAATGCAATATCTCATAATCACATTATTTTGCAACAAGGTTGTTAGACCCCACGTCTGGGGCCACATAATTATACCAACTTTACACCAGAATACTCCAAAATAGGCATACAATACCATTAATGCACTGTATCAATTCACTTGCTTTATGCATCAGATTGTTGGAAGCAAACCCACTCAACTGCATTTAACAGGATGAGACTGGGGAAAGAGCAGAAGGAAAATTGTAGAGCTAATCTTAGTGTATGTGCTGCAGCTTGTGTACCCAAATGCTTCTGAAGAATTACAGGTGACTTCCAACAGCTCTGTCAAAACTGCCTCTGTTTTGACAGAATTTAAAGCCATGAGAACAGAAAATGGTGAGGGGTTTGGTGTTTAATTCTCTGTGCTCCCTGGTCCATGCCTGGATTCTGGTCTGAAGATCTGTCAGTTCAGCCTGGTGGGAAACATTCCTCGCTCTGCAGCATTCTTTTGAGATAACTGAAATTATACTCCATTGCATAGCAGAAATTGGAGGATTTAGCTCATTTAGTCTGTAAGCCTTACTTTTAATCATTCCAGTGCCCTAGTACAAGCACACATTTTTGGCCTTCTTGGTAAGAGTATTTGATGTTTGCAGCTTTGCTGGAAGCTCTTGTCATAGACTCCAGGGGTTTTAAATGTCAAACACTCAGAGCCTGGTGCTGAGGTATTGGACTGTGGGGAGTGAAACCTCAATGTCTTTCTTGTCCTGAAGGACCCAAAACTGAACTGAGATAAAGATTTTCCTTAGCCCTTCTTTGGTTGTTAATACTTTTATAGGAATACTGTAGCCAGGTTAATGTCTATTTGGACTTTAGACCTTGTCATTTTCTCCATGGTCACCAAGCTCTGAGTGCTTTCTCTGCTCTTGTTGTACACCAGTCTCCTCCAATGCCAGTGTCCTGTTTATATTTTTGGTTAATTTTAGTGCCTGCAAATACATTTTTGCAAGGACTGTCAGCAAGGAGCTTACATCAAATACACACAGATCATACATACAGAACCTTTAAGGCATCTGCAAGTGATTTTGTTATCATTTCCCCAATTTTGCTATCCATTTCTCTTTTTGGTTCTTTCTGCACATCTGTCTACATCAGTTAGAAGAGTCAAGTTATGTATTTCAAAAACTGAGCAGGATAACTGCTTTTCTTGAATAATTTCATGGGTAAATTATGCAATGCTACACTGAATGTTGTATTAACTATGAATAGGTGGGGTTGTATCCTCATTCTTGAAACGAGGGTCAGCGCTTTAGAAAGAAGGCATTGCTGCAAGACCTTAGGACTGCAAATAAACTACCCAGATATAAGATGAACACAGTGGAATCCAGATTTTGATAAATAAGTTAAAGCAACTAGCTGTATGTTTTCTTTTAGAAGACAAAGGGGGAAAAAAGGAATCTGATTACAAACTAACTGATGACAAAACTCATAGGTGAAGGACTAAAGCAATTACAAGTTCCTGCTTTATTTTAAATTACATTCTTCACTCACAGCTGCAGCAATGTGCATTTGCTCTTACCAGTGGATCCTCCCCTAACATGTGATGGAGTAGGCAGTACTTTATTGGTTTTTGGTTACTTTGTGTTTTAGAGGAGAAAGAGATTATGTGCAACTTCTGAGGGAAACTGAACTTTTAAAATCAGTAAACCAGTAACTTCCTGTGCCTTCAAAAACCAAACTATATTCTGGAGTTCTGAACTGTAGTGCATTTACTTCCACCACTTTTGAAGGGAAATATTGCTGTATTTTGCTTTCCACATTTCATTGGTAAAAATAAGGGGGGGAAAGCAGCAAAATCACGCTCTGTGTATCTATTAATGTTTAGCTAATCCTGCAGTTTCACTCTGTAGAGAATTGAAACTCGTGTGCTCTTAGATGGGTAACAGTAAGTTTCTAATATAAAGAAGAATCAGCCTTATTTCAAAATAAAATGCTGAGTGTCTGCCTAGATATTAAAATATCTGAAGTTTGTGGATTTAGACTGCAAGGAAGATCTCCAAAGACCCTGTGCACCTGCAAATAATTATTGGTTTGGGTGATTGTACATGGATTAAGAAACCCACTTGCAACCAAAACAAGTAGATATTAAGCATCTCATGATCTGGTGTCACATAGCAGGAACATGGCTGGGTACTTGAAGAAATCAACACAGTCCAGCTTGTGTGAAATCATTCTCTTCCTTCATAATTAGTTAAGCGCATTATCTTTGCTATGGGGTCAATAATATAAATGAGTGGAAGGTAACTTTCCTTTGTTGTGACAGCCACAGTGAAATATCCAGAGCAGAATAGCTAGTGTAGAGTGTTTGCTAGTGTAGAGTGAAGGTTCTCCTCCTACCAGAAACTTCTTGAATGGCCTTTCAACGCACAGCAGGATTTTAGTAAGATTTTTGCATTAGTTATGGTAGCACCCAATGAAAACCTCGATATTTTTAGAAAAGCAAAATCCAATTATCAGTAAAGAGAAGAAGAATTATTCTGCATTGCAGTCCTTCTAGGATTCAGGCACAAAGGTGAGAAATATAGTCCCGAATTAATATATTTGGGAATTAATAGGCCCTTTTCTAGGCCTTGATTGAAATGGTAACGATGCTGTACAACTTCCCTGTTTATGTCTATATGACTCAGACACTAAACACAGGAAATTTGAAAGTATGATTACAAATTCTTTCCCTGTTTATTCTTCAGGTTCCTATCACCTGAAATTATTTTCTCAGCTCCACTATAGTCAGAGAAACTATAAATTGCAATTTCAAATGTCAAGAAAAATATGTGGAGAAGGAAGGCATGAAAAAAACCCATAAACTCCACCTAATAAACATCCTAAAAATCAAACCAGTCTGTTCTGGTGAGCATGGAGGCTTGTAAGTATGAAGATGTCTGCAAGAAGCCATGTTCTGTGAAATGCTGGATTGTCATCAGCATAAGTCTATCCATGTAGTTCTAAGTTTTGGCCCTTCTACACTCTCCCACACAGCTTTGACTTTGTTGTATGCCATTTCCTGTGCCCTTTCCACTATCTATTTTATCCTCATTGGGTTTGTTTCGCTTCCCCAAAGTCCCATTCACTTAACAGACATTTCTTCCATAGAGTATTCAACTTAGAACTGTCCCTGTTCTTGAAGCTGTTTTCATCAGGAGTGAATGCCAAATAATAATAAGAATTACTAAACTTCCAAAACTGAATTATTGTTAGCATCAATAAGCAACTTCTGTCTCTCTTTTCATGCAGCTTACACTAAAAAGAGGGGGAGGGGGAAAGGAGGAACTTGAGCTTCTTCAAAATCTTAGTTTAGTCTGAAGTGACTGACTTATGCTTATGTAACACATTTTTCTCCTTGCTGATTGATCTTAAACTTTGTGGCCAAATATTTCACAATTGTCCTTTGGAATTCCCCATAGCTTGGGAGTTAACCTTTTCTTGAGTAGTTTTTATATTTTTTTTATGGTGTGGTACTGTATCTAGGTAAAACACAGTTTGAAATGAAAACTGTTCAAAAGTCGCATAGAAGAGAGCATATTGAAGCATATGAGAATAAAAGCACATGGATGTATGAGTAACGTAAGAATTTGTTTAAAGGGGGAAAAATAAGAGTACTCCTCTCTGTGGGGGTGGAGCAGTAGATGAGGT